TGTAACTTTGGCTCTCACCTCTCCTGGAGTCAATCTGATTTTGTAATGATGAAGGTGTTAAGGCAGAGAAGAAAAGGGCAGCCCCTTGCACCTGTTTCTTAACATGGTGTCGGTTGACACTTTCAGATGGTAACTTCTGTTATGGTCTGTTGATGAGGTTTGACTAATTCCAATTGTCCTGTGCGCTGGTGAGTAAGTATGTGTTTAGACTTCTGAGAATTCAAACCTTTCTTCTAGGCCTAGGCATTGGAGAAGAAACTTTGGGGTTGTATCAGGTGTAACCTGGGCTAAGCTTTAACCTTACCACCATTCCAATGCTATGGATCAGAGGCAAAAGAAGGACAGAGGTAGTTGCAGGGAAACAGCTATGAGGGCTCAAGGTGCTCTGGTAATCAGGCATAAGAAACCCAAGTAATGAGAATATCTACTCAGTGACAGAGGTAGCATCATAGAAGATGACCTCCCTACAATCATGATTCGTATTGTCTATACATTCGGATTGTCTATACACATACATTCCCTGGGCAGACCCATGGGTTCTCCTGGGGATTGGTGTCTCAGTGAGCAGCTGGCATCAGGAGCCAGAGATGCCAACCTCACAGAAACCATACAAAAGTTTCATCTGCAGATGGCATAGCCCAACAGTGAGCTGGGAGATCTGGCCCAATATGCAGACCCTGCTCACCCAGGATACCAGTTCTCAGGGGCCCAGGAGCCCCGCCTCCCAGGACCCTGGGCCTGAGGAGATTGGGGGGTGATGGTGAAAGGGACAGGAACTTGGGGAATGAGAGAATCTCGCAGCAAGGGTAGCTCTGTTGCTCTCAGAATCCTTCTAACTGGGCCTCTGACTTTGCACTTGAATCTTTAGTGTTAGGTGAGTTTTCAGCAGGCAGAGGTACCGGGGAAGCCATTTCTCCATGAAGATAGCTGGCAATAACTGGACTGTACATGAAGTGTTTACAAGCTACGTATCTTTTAAAAAAATACCTTAAGCCTCAGAAGCCCTCTTAGATTTCTCCATAACCTAAACTCTGAATCCCTAATCCTTACTAGGAAAAGCATGACAGAAGAGAGCCAGAATGGAAGGAACCCAGCAATCTTAACTGTGGTCAGAATATATTTTGAAAAGTTAATAAAATGGTCTGACCATGTGCACACATACAAAGGATCGTTCTAGGGCCTTGGGGAACTCCAGTGCATGGCAAGGAGCTTGGCTGTGGCTGTTCCTCACCAGGGTTTATTGCATGCTCCCACTTGAAGCTGAGCCCACTCTGAGCCTCACCTATATCGTTCTGAGCAATTAGCAACTACTTTTGAATGTTCTCTAGGCCTCAGTGAGATCCAAAGTTCATAAATTATTCTGCAACAAGGACATGTTTAATTTCATAGTGTCATACTTTTGTGACATAGGTGTGTCCAGTGTGGCGCTTATCACAAATCAGAGGGTTGCACAATTTGGACTGGACTGGACTTTCCTCTCCTCCTCTCTTGTCTTCCCCCCTCCCCTGTACTTCTCTTCTCTGTCACCTCTCCTGTCTCTCCCCTTGCAATCAAACACTGGAGACAAGCCCTGAACCACTCACTTCCAGCTCAAGTTCTAGTTACTTAATTTTAACTGAGACTTTAATTCAATAAGTTGCCCCAGTCAACCTTGAACTTCCAGTCCTGCTGACTCAGCTTCTGGAGGATCTGTGATTCCCCACCCAGTTCTTCAGGGCTGGCTGGATTCCTTCATTTTTACAGTATCTTTTTTACATTATATGCAGTGTTCCATAAGGTTTGCTTTCCAGAAGTTTCCTAGGATTGTTTATCAGTTTAGTGAATTGCTAATTGTCTCAATACGCTGCAGACTAACTGGGCTTTTGCTTTGTGGCAATAGCATTTGCAATCAGATGTTCCCAGGAGACTATCTATGGTCACAGCACTGCACCAACCTCTCCTACAGCCTGTGACTAGTGCCTCCCACACCCACCTTTCCCCAGCTCCTGGCCATCACCATTCTATTCTCTCCTTCAGCTTCCATGCTCCGTCTTCCTTCTTTTCTTCCTCCTCCTCTTCCTCCTTCCCTTCTTTTTTGAGACAGTCTCATGTAGCCCAGGCTGGCCTAAAACGCTTGAAAATCCTCCTGTCTTGATCTGCTGAGTGTTGGGATTATAGGCACATATCACCACATTCTGCAACCATTTTTATTCACTCTCGGCTTGTTTATTATTGCTGTTTCACCATAGGCTCACGAAGCACAGGGCGTTCTTCAGCACACTATGTAGACAAGGATGGTCTAGTCAGGGTAGTGGCCCATAGCTTTAATTCTAGAATTTAGGAGGGAGAGTCAGGCAGATCTCTGTGAATTCGAGGCTAGCCTGGTCTACATAGCAAGTTCCAAGACAGCAAGCCTACATAGCAAGAACCTGTCTCAAAGAAAAAACAAAACAAAGATGGCCTCAAACTTCTGATTATCCTTTCTCCAATTCCCTTCCAAGTGCTGAGAACAAACGTTTGAGACACCATGGTTGGCTTCTGAGTTCAGCTTCTTACCTCCACTCATTAAATGAAATCACAACTTAGTACTTAGTTACTTAGTAGCTAGCTCTCCATGTCACCAGAGTCCCAAGAATCATCTCACTTTTTTCTGGAAACCTGGTACTAAAACATCTAAGTTCCCTCTTAGTCTTTGAGTATTGTATGCTACACATTGACTGACAGTTCCCTGGAGCCAGTGTTGTCAGCCTGGGTAGAGGGTAGGGTTCATCAAAGGACATACCGAAGAGCAGATAAAACCCCATGCTAGTGGTCTCCATCCACAATTTTTAACCATGTCTGTGCCATAACATTTTTTAGATGCATGCTCCTTTTTGGTCCTGCTGCCTCTTCTAAACAAAACCTTTGATAGTTTATGCCACTTCGTTTCTCTCCATCCCATGACTTATTTCAGGGCTGCCTGCCCACTGATATTTCTTGGCCTGGGGAATTACACTTCCAGTTTTCCATATATACTTTTAAAAAATAAATGGCCTGGTGTGACAGTGGTCTTCCAGCTTCCATAAAGCGAAGAGTGAAGCCCAGTCCCATATTGTGAGACAGGGCCTCCTATTGTCCCCAAAGAGACAGCTCCAAAGCAGTCTGAGGGAGGACTCACTCATACTGCCTGTTCTGAGCAGAAAGACAGGTAACCCAGTCAGAAAAATTTACTAAGTACATTGGACCAGGTAGCAAGGTGACAGCCAAGGATACACAGAACATAAACACGACAAGGACGTCAATGGTGGAATAAGGGCCCAAATGGTACCAGACCCTGTGTGGGGTCAAGTACGGGGAGGAGAGTGGTACTCTGAACCTGAGGCTGCCTTTGAGCACAACTCTGGGCACCAAAGTCAATCAGCCAGTTTCTTAAAAGAGATTGGCAAAGTAATGTGGCTTTGTTTAGTTTGGCTAAATCAGAGAGGGAAAGACTCCCAATCCCCAATCTCTGAAGCACTCTTACAGTTTTATAGCCCAAGTGAAACAAAGCCAGGGATGTGCTTATGTTAACAGTGAGGGAGGATTCAAAACTGTGTCTCTCTGGGCAAGTTAAATTCCTTCTCTGGCTGGTTCCAGTCTTCAGCTTTTCCCTCCCACAGGATGAGGCTCCTGGGGAAATTTCAAATTAATTGATGTCCATTGTTAAATAGTCTCATGGCAAAGAAGAAGGAGGAGGAAGAGGAGAAAGAAGAAGAAGAAGAAGAAGAAGAAGAAGAAGAAGAAGAGTCTCTCTTTAGAGTTTCTCATGTCCTTCAAGGGCCATGTTTCCAGAACTGTCAGAGTAAAAAGAACAAACCATCAATAGAGAGAATTCAACATTGTTGATGGCCTAAAGTCTCAGTTATCAGCTTACATGTGACTGAGAAAACATCACTGGGGTTCATTCAGAATTTCCAGTCTAAATTTAAAACTCAGGAAGATGGGACTCAATGTAATTCAGGTGGTAGAGTTCATGTCTAGCATGCCAGAAGCCTTGGCTGCTGAGGTCTGTCGCCTAGACACTTAGTGGGTGGAAGAAAGTTCAGAAGTTCAAGGCCAGAGTGGGCTACATGAATCCTGGGGGAAAATAAGCAAACATGTCTGTGCCTATTCTTCTCTTTAGGACAGAAAATGGAGCCAGTGAGATGACTCATCCATAAGACACTTTGCACCAGTCTAGTGAGCTGAGTTCTATCCTGGAACCCACAGGAAGAGAAAGGAACTGACTCTCCAAAGTCATCTCTTGACCATGGGGAGACCATGACATGTAGGTGTACACACACACACACCGGAAATATAAAATAAATTAAAATTTTAACCGTGAAATATAGTATGCTCTCTGTTTAGTTCCCAGCTGACTATGACTTAATCTATTCCAGCGGTAACCAGCCTGAGGCTGTAGGACAACAGAGGCCAAGGATAGATATGGAGTGAACTAACACAAAATTAGAAATTTAAATCAACATGTGGGGGGAGTTTACAATTTTGTTTTTTTTTTATTTGAACACAGAGTTATTGAGGGTGAGAATGTTGCTTTGAAATGTCAAAAGGTTACAGCCCTGATTGGAGAATGTCCTCATCTACAAACTGGCATTGGCACAGGCCTGGCTGACTCTCCACGTAGCCTCTGGTTCTCAGACCTCAGGAAGGAACTACAGTCAGGTGCTCAAACTCAGAGTCAGAAGCTACAGTTAATGAAGTGGAGAAAGGGGCAGCCAGGGAGCTGGGCAGCGCCTTGGACCTGCCTCTCAAGCAGCCAGATGCTGTCCAGTGGCCTGCTGAAATCTGACTACTTCCAATTTGTTCTTTTACAAAGTGCAGCAGCACAAAGCCTTGTGTTTGGTATTTGGGGTATTCCACTGTCTTCCCTACTCAAGGGAAAGAGGTGTGTGTAGGGATGCAGGGTGTCCAAATAGGGCCAAACTTCATTCCTGACACTTGCATCTCATTCAGCCATGAGAGATAGGTGGGAAAGACGCTGAGGGATCCACAGGGGAGCAGCCCTAGGGGCTCAGGGTGATGCTGGTACAGGAAGCTAGGAGCCCAAAAAGGGGGAAGACCTGTCTGTCAAAGGAGGTTTGGAAGGTGTAGATGTGTTTTTTAGTGATGGCATCGTAGAAGACGACGTCTCCACGGTTGTAATCCACGTAGACGCCCACTTTCTCAAGACTGATGAGAACATTCTCCTGGACCTTGCAGTTGGTGAACGGCTGACATCCAGAGGACGAGATCCGAAGCGCCCACAAGCAACTCGTTCCAGAGTTCTGACTCTGGGACCTCAAAGCCAACTCTGTGGCCACGCCCACCATGCCTACCCTACCAGAGGGCCCCTGGATTTCTACCTCCCACACCCCGCGGCCTGAGGAAAGCTTTGGGGAACCCCTCACACAGTGGAAAGGGTAGAATGGTCGGGGTTTTCCCTGCGTGTTCAAACTTTCTTGGACCATGTACAAAGTCGCTTTCTTTAGATCTTGAGAAAAGGTGAGGTTTCGATCAGCTGAGGCCGCGTCCAGGGTTACAGGGACTGCGGAAGATAAAAGAGAAGCATAAAGGGGGAGAGCTTCAGGTCCAGGCCTCCAGCACCCTGCTTTTGAGCTTCTCGTGTTGCAGCTAGAAGAATTTCTCTTTCAAATCCCAGTCCATGTCCTCAGACTCCTGCCTGTTTGTTTTGGTTTTCTGGGAAGAGGGTTTGTGTAACCTAAGCAGAGCTGAGGCGGACGGTGGTGGTGCACTCGGGAGGCAGAGGCAGGAGGATCTCTATGAGTTCGAGACCAGCCTGGTCTACAAGAGCCTCCAAAGCCACAGAGAAACCCTCCAAAAACAAAAACAAAAACACAAAAAAAGCCAGAGCTGAAACTCACTGTGAAGCTAAGGATGACCTTGAACTTCTCATCCTTCAGGCTTCACCTCCCTAGTGCTGGAATTATAGATGTGGGTCACCATGGCCATGCTCCCCACACCCCTCTCTCCAATACCTCTCTCCACTCTCCATCCCCAGCCCTCAAACTCAACCCCTAATTTTATGAGTTGCTGTTCTGTGGGTGCAGAGGGAAGCTCCCCCAGTCCTTGTGGGGGCAGAATCCTTTCAGAAAGAGGCCTCGGCCCAAGGTCACAGCACCCTGGACAATTTAGATCTTATAACAATGAGGCCATGTCTTCTTCTTGTCCCCATTTCTTGGTTCTCATATAGCAAACAATTGAAGCTACTATGAGAGGTCAAAGTTCAGCCTGGTTTTCTAAAACTGGGGTCAGGTGTTCACTCAACTGACAAGGCTTGGGCTCTGAAGCCTGACACCTGATTTCAATCCAGAAACCTACACGGTGGGAGACTGACTCCCCCAAGTTGTCCTTTGACTACCACACATAGGCACGTGTACACACACACACACACACACACACACACACACACACACACACACATGAACACATGCGGACATGTTAGAATGAATCCCTCAGACACAGAAGGGCAGGAAAAAGGGGATACTTAGAGCCCCTTGCTCTGCCCCCACCCTTATATCATCGCTCAGGCATTGAATGGCACTTTACCAAAGCTACAAGAGTCTTTAGCTGTCCCTTACAAAGGCTGGGGCAGCAGTGCTCCCTGCTCTGCTAAGGGCTAGAAACAGAGCTCATTCTAGCTCCTCATTCGCTGTTCATCTCAGGCTTTGCTGCAACACTAGTTCTCCTTGGCTGGGTGTGTGGGTTGGGGAGAGATGGTGGATGCTGGAGTGTGCATTAGAGCCAGTGGTCAGGGTCAGTGGCATAGGCTAGAGGCATAACCCAAGCATGTCTTACCCCTCTCTGTTTTCCAGGCCTGGCTAAGTTGTATCACTAGGGGACAGGGAGATGGGGACAGTGATCCCAGAGGAAGACAGAGGTAGGAACTTCTATGGTCTACTAGGGGACGTCAAAGTCAAAGCAATTAGGGAGAAGAGCAACACTGGGTGGGAATAATCACCATTCAAACTTGTCTCCTGTTTTGTTGGAGGTGCTCATTGCCAGGCATGGTGTGTATACCTCTAATTCCAGCACTTGGGAAACTGAGGCAGGAGAACTACCATGACTTTAAAGATAGTCTGGGCTACATGAAATTCTGTCTCACAAACAAACAAATAAAAAAAGGTCTGGGGAGACAGCTGGGCTGTGCAAGCATGAGGACCTGAGACATGATCCCTAAGACCCAAGGGAAAAAGCTGAGTGTGGCCATGACACACCTGCAACACTAGTGCTGAATAGTCAGAAATGGCTGCACGGGCATGGACCTCAGATGCAAGACAGTCCAAGGTACCTAGTGAGCTTGAGGCTCAGTGAGAGATCTTGTCCATGAAACCATGAAACTAAGGAAGAGTGTGAAAGAAGATGCCCAAGGCTAGTCTCCATGAGCACACACACACACACACACACACACACACACACACACGCACACGCCAGTGGAAGAGAAAAAAGAACTAATAAAAGATTTGGTGAGATAGTTTGGCAGGTTCATATATAGACGTTTGCTGCCCAAACCCAGAACTCACATTAAAAACAAAAACAAAACAAAACAAAAAAGTCATGTTAAGGAGAAACCAGTCTTCACAAAATAGTCCTCTGACTCCCACTCTGTGGTTCTCACCTCCATAGTTCGTCAGTATGTACACACAATAATAACCAAGAAAAGAAAAATTTAAGGGAAAAACAAAGGTGGGGAGGGGGGAGCTAGAAGGAAAGGCCAGCATCGGGGGAAGAGCAGCCCCCAACTCTCTTCAGTAAGGAATCTACTGACTTGGTGTCACCTAGAGGTTGTCAGTGTGCACAGAGCTCAGGCTCCTCCAGGGGCCCAGCTTTGCTCCAGAGCAATGAATGCTGAAGGGGTTGTTGCCCCACAAAGGAGGCCTCAAAGTGGAAGGTGATGGAATAGGGCTGGGCGTCAGGTGGCCCCAGTTTTATCAATCCATTGCCATTTGAGGGACAGGAAAGGAAAAAAATAGAGGTCAGTAGGGCAATAGGTACTGCTGAGCTCCAGAGACAATAGGGGGCATAGACCAAGCAGCAGGGTACACCTGCACAGTGGGGGTCCCCTGTTTGGGGCTAGGGCTTTACTGTGGAAGGTATAGTTTGGGAAGCAGAAGAGGTAGATGTCTGTCCCTTACTCTGTATCTACCCATCTCTGGCAGCTGAAGTCTACACAGTTCCACAGTCCTTACTCTCAGGCCCTCCTGTATGGTGAGCCTTACTCATCTTTCTGGTCTTTTGGTCCTCTATTTCTCAGGGGAGCTGAGAGCAATTGTTCATGCAGTTTGTTCTGCATGTTAGGTAGCTCTTCCTGGGTTCTGGCCTCTAACTCTCCTCTGCTGTATCAGAGCTGTGAATAGACAGAACATTTGACCTGCAGACCTGGAGGCCCCTTGCTTCCCTACAGGAAGACCAGTGTGCCAGGCAGTATTCCTACCTGAGTTGTGCAAGTCTGAGTTATTCTTCTGTAACAGGTGCCCTAGAAATTGGAGAGAGAAAACAAATTTTAGGTTGATAGCAAGAGGTTATAAATTAAAAGGCATATTGAGGATGGCAGGCTGAACCTGACCTTTTTCCTAGCTACCCTCATAGCTGAACCACCTCAGATGACATCATTACAGGATATTGTCTCAGTGGGTCTCCTCCACTCCTCAGTTTTGCTGTGTAGTGATACATTGTCTGTAATCTAACAAATAAAGCTTGCCTGAAGATCAGAGTGCAGAGCTAAGCCACTAGTTAGCCACACACCTAGTTAAGAGCTAAGCCACTAGTTAGCCACACACACACACACACACACACACACACACACACACACTAAGTGCCACTAATTAGCCACACACCCAAGCCACTAGTTAGCCGTAGAGGACAAGCAGGGTGGCCACACCTTTAATCTCAGCACTCGGGAGGCAGAGGCAGATGGATCTCTGTTAGTTCAAGGCCACCAAGGGCTACATGAGAGTGAATCAGTCTAAAAGAGAAACAGAGCTCATACCAAGGTGATCTCAGCACTTGGGATCCCATGCCTTTAATCCCAGCACTAGGCAGGAATATAAGACAGGTGGAGACAGGAGTGTAGTGTATTCAGTCTGCAGTCATGCTGAGGACAGAATTACCCCTTTTGGCCCCAAGCCTTGGTAGAAATAAGAACTGTCTCGTGGCTGGCTGCTTTGCTTTTTCTGGTCTTTGGTTTGGTGTCACTCTGATTGGCTACACATAAAATCTAAAACAATTCTGTAAGTTTGTTCTTTATTGGTGTTCACCCACACTGGACCTTCCTCCCTCAGTCCTCCCCCTAAAGAGAGAACTCTTCCTCTTGTATTCTTCACTTTCCCCAAACAGCAGGGTTAGCACACACTTACATCTTTCCATCTCCTGTTTACTCAGGCTGTCCAGGAACGCGCTTTTATCTTTCTTCCCTTCAGTCTTCAGGTTGTCTACGAGGAGAGGGTGAAGGATATAGAGGCAACCAGGACCACACAGTGAATCCCTGATTGCTGATATGGGCAGGGAGAAGTGATATTGGTGTTCCTCTCATAGTCTCAGTGGACCAAGAAGGCAGCCAAACAGGGAGAGCTGCCCTAGGGTCTCCCTGAGGTGGTTGTCCAGTACAGCTCAGTCCAGAACAAAGGTATTAAGAGCCACAAACACGAGCCACTGAATTTTGAATTTTCTAGATACCATTTTGCAATCCTAAAAGATGCTGACACCCAGGAAGCTGATGCAGGAGGATGACAACTTTTGGGCTAGTCCACGGTATGTAGCGAGTTTCAGAGTCTGGGATATTTACACAGTGTCTCAAAAGGAAAGAAAAAGGGGGCTGGAGAGAGGCCTCAGTAGTTAAAAGCACCAGTGGACCCAGTCCGACTACCAGCACCCACTGGAACTCCAACCCCAGGGAGTCTGACAACCTCTTCTGACATCCATGGGCACCAGACAAGCACATGATACATGCATACACAACACCCATACAAATAAAATAAATAGAACTTTAAAAAAGAAATGAATTTAAATAGTGTTTTCTTCAGCTCAGAATGTTAAGAAACACTGTCATTTCAGCTTGTAGGATAAAGGCTTACTGCTACCAGGCACAGTGCTGGGTGCTGGAGTCCCAGATGCTTAGAAGGCTCAAATGGGAAGGCCATTGAACTCTTCCATAAGAGACTACCCTGGACAGTACTTCCGTTTGCTTTTGTTTTCATTATTATATCTTATGTTCTATTTTAATATTAAGCCTTTCAGAGTCAATGTTTATTCTTTACCTGCACTATGTGTGAATGCTGTAATTCTGGTGCCCAGGGGTACATGTGGCCAGCAGCTAACAAATTGGAAACATGCTTCTAGCCCCATGTTCACCACCTAGTAATCAAGGAAAAATTCCCAGAGAAGAAGTGCTTTGGCTTTGGGGCTGTAGCATGAGAAATTTCTGGATAATGATGCTTTGAAACTGCCCAGCTTTCAGCTTAGCTTCTGACAGGCTTAGGGGCTAGCACCAAGAGAGTTCAGGCAGCGTCTGGGGTGATGGAAAGAATCCTGAGGCAGATAAGCACAGGCAGTGGCAGCTACACCTCACCTTTTAATCCCTCCAGGCTTTTTATGATGACTGCATGTCTTGCTATTGCTTCCCTGGTTTTTCTCTCCAGGTCCTCAGGAACTGGGGTTGGATTGAGAAACTTAAATTCCACACTCCTGTGAAGATAATGTTGATCTGAGTGGTGAGTTCAGGGGACAGAGAGTGGGCAGCAAGGGTCTGGGAGGTGGTTTCTGGGGTAGAGCCAGGAAGCTGAGTGTCAGGAGGCCAGGATGGGAATATGGTGAAAATAAAAAAAGCTACTGTGCTGCTGTGGCCAGTTTGGTCTTCCCCATCTGCAGCCTAAGTCATTTATAGCAGAGTTATTGGGGGATGTGAACATATTTGGAAATAGGCTGAATGTTGTATGTGCAAGTGAACCAGAAAGCATGGTACACTGGGACGCCCATCATACCTGCTCAAGTTGTCTATGATGCCCTGGAAGAGAAAGAGAGAACTTATCAGAGCTTGCCAGAGTCACAGGTGCCAAAGAAGGGGTTCAGACTCAGCTAGAAGCAGAGTGAGGACACCCCAGTTTTCCGTCCTTTCTCTCTTCTGCCTGTTGTGTGAACATGCCTTTGTATGCATGTGTGTTTCTGTGTGTGAACATGCCTCTGTTTGCATGTGTGTTTCTGTGTGTGAACATGCCTCTATATATGTGTGTGCCTGTGTGCGTGTGCCTGTGTGTGTGTGTGCCGTGTGCTTGTATGGGTGTGTGTGTCCTAGCTGACCTTGAACTCTAGTGATCTAGGGAACCCTCCTACCTCTGGAGTGCTAGAATTACACGTGTGAGACACTGTGCCCAGCTGTTTGAGACAGTGTCTTGATCTTTGCTCATGTCAGCTTTGGACTAGCAGCAGTCCTCTTACCTCAGTGTCCTGAATTACAGGAGGGGTTTCAGTTCTCAACCTTCCTAATGCTGCTAGCCTTTAATATAGTTCCTTATGTTGTGGTGACCCACCCCCCACACCATAAAATTATTTTCATTGCTACATCATAACTGTAAATCTGATACTCTTATAACTTGGAATGAAAATATCTAATATTTTCCATAGTCTCGGGTGGCCCCTGTGAAAGAGTCAGTGGAACCCGCCCACAAGAGGGATCTAGCCACACAGGTTGAGAACTTCTGGGTTAGGTGAAGAAGAGTAGCAGTTGGTGGATTTGTTCCAGAAGGCAATAAAAAGTAGTAAAGGTCATTAGAGAGAACAGCACACTGTGTCAGAGATAGTATGAGTGGAGCCTTGTGGGGAATGACAGGCTTCCCTTTAAAACCTGGAGTGGAGCTCTATCAAAAGTGCTCACTTAACGTAGGAAAGATAAAGGTCGTGGATTCTATGATGGGGTCGGTGGGAGCCTCAGGGAAATAAATCCCTCAGGAAAGGAAAGTATCTGACTTTAATGTCCTTTCAGGGAGTGGAGGGGACAAAGGCCTCAGAGGAACCAGATATTAGGAGCTGTTAGGCCACAGCATAATACAGATTCTTAAGTCTCTTTCAGAGAGAGAGAGAGAGAGAGAGAGAGAGAGAGAGAGAGAGAGACATACATCCAGTAGCTCCATGGGCGGTGCTTGTAACCTATTTTTTAGGGATCTTGAGAGCTTCCTGAGGGAAGTCAACTGCTCATTAGTCGCAGTGACATACTGTCCTATTTGCTTGGCTCCCTCGTGCTCCAGCCAGTCCAACCTGGACAGGAGGAATCTCTCTTCCTCTTCCAATCTCAGGTGCAGGTGTTTGAATTCTTCAAGGATCTTTAGTTTTTCTAGATGTATCTGGGCCTGGAGACAAAGGAAGGGATGCAAAGATGGGGGACGGGCATGAGAGAGGGTCCTCCAAGCTTCCTTTAAGCCCTTCATTCACTTTTTAAATCAACCATGAATGAATGAATGATCAGTCAGTTACGGGCAAAGTCTCACTATATAACCCTGGCTAGCCAGGAACTCAGTAAGTGCAACAGGTTGGCCTTCGATTCACAGAGATCCACCTGCCTCTGCCTCCTAAGTGCTGGGAATCAAAGGCACGTACCACCTGGCACTGTTCACTCTTTGGGAATATTTAAAGATTATGCTGAACAGCTTGCTGGGGGCATACCTGTGGGAAAGGGGGGTGGGGCAAGGAGATCAAAGCACTTCCTGTGCAAATTTAGGCTCTCTCTCTCTCTCTCTCTCTCTCTCTATATATATATATATATAT